ACTTTTTCGTTAAATATTATCTTTTCCGTTAGTTCACCGTTAACTTACTCATTGATTTCAATAAGAAAGGTCTTAGGTTCGAATCCCATCCCAATCAAAGTTGACATAATTAGTACTTTATTTTACTCTTATTAAATTAAAATAATAAAAATAATAATTTAGTAACTACAACAAAAAAATAATACATATGCATTTCTTTAATTTAGAATTATGTGTCTATAATGTCTTTATTCAACAAAAATTATTCATTATCAATAAATTAAATAAGAGAAATAATTTCATTAGTTATATTGTATTTATTTTTCTCTCATATAAAAAATCTTTACATTCAAATTCATCAATTGATTATATTCGCTACATTGTCCCTACGATGTCTTTATTTAAAAAAAAATTTATTATCAATAAATTAATTAAGAGAAATAATTTTATTAGTTATATTGTCTTTATAGTTCTCCCATGTAAAAATTCTTTACATTCAAAATTCATCAATTGATTATATTCACTACATTGTCTATTATCTTTTTTGTACACTATTTTCTATTAAATATCAAAGTTATAATACAAAATAATGCTATATATTTATTTACCAAGTATTTTATTAATACAATGAAAAAATTAAAAAATATATATAATTAATAAAGCCAATCATATTAACTATTTGAGGGATTTGTTGACAAAAAGAGTATTCAAATCACTCAACAAATTGAATTGAGAGTTACCTCGCAATGTCCTTGTTTGACAATCAGCAGTTAGCGGTTAGCGTTAGCGGATCATATTAGCGAATTTGACCAGTGAATTACATCAATGGTTGATAAAAAGATAATTGAAAAAATTTAGCTGTTTAGATTAACATGTAAAATGACCTAAGGGTATACATAATAATAATAATAATAATAATAATAATAATAATAATAATAATAATAATAATAATAATAATTGTTTTAAAAAAATAAAAAATACAATTAAGTCAATCATATTAACTACTTGGGGAATTTATTGACAAAAGAGTATTCAAATCACACAACAAATTGAAGTGGGCAACTATCTCGCAATGTTATTGTTTGGCAATCAGCAGTTAACTCTTCAATATTAGTATATATTTAATATTTTATGCCCTAATTTTTATTTGCTATCCCTTATGTCCCGTATTTGGTTTCAACCATACCTATACAATTATTTTATTGACAATTATAATCAATCTTGACTATATTATCTTGCATTTGTAAACTTAGAATTGCCTATTTAAATACGCAAATTTAACATTCAATTATCTATTCATGAACAATTTCAATATAATCTTGCATTGATATACTTTAAAGTACTTATTTAAAAGAAAAATATTGGGCATTATTCCAATCGCGCAATGCGCGTAAAAAACTAGTAATTATCATAAAACGTAAATATTTGATATTAAATTAATAAAATTTAAAATATAATTGTCATATATAAAATATAAATTAAATTCTACATGCACCTAATTCACAAATCGACATTACTTATCAACGGTCAAACACTTTTTTATTTTTTATTTTTAAATTAGTTGGGGGAGGGGGGACTGTGGAGGGTTCAAACCCATTAATATCAACAACCCATTAACAATTCAACACAAATCATTGATCATATGGAAAATTAATAAAAATGAAGTGCTCAAGATAATGAATGTATTATAATGAGCAAGTTGAACAAATGTAATGTCCTTTCATCCGATTTTTCTCATAATTAAGTATTCAATTATCTAAAAAAAAAAAAAAGTAATTATACTCCCGAGTTATAATTGATTTCATATAAACACTTGAATTGGGTGGGAGGGGGGAGGGAGAGGGAGAGCAATGGTCTTTTTTTGCTTATAAATTACATATTATAGGCTTATAGTAATTTATTGTTAATCTGATTTTCAGGTCAGATATCTCTTTTGTACCTGCTAAACACTATATATATCATATTTTTTTCTTTACTCAAACTTAAAGGGGAAAAACCACCATTGTTATTGATGGACAACCATATTGATTGATGTGTCTCATCTCAACCAAAAGACTAAACTGATAGTAAAAATAATAGTAGATAATTAGAGGTACAGACCCATAAAATTTCATATTGCTCTGATACTAAATTAAATAATATGTCATGTTTCAACTAAAAGTATAAATATGTCCTGTTTCAACTAAAAGTATAAATTTATAATAAGACTACATGTTTTTATTTCATATATATTAGACTCATCAACCACAACTATCTATATATTCAAAGATTTATTTGACCTACACCTTTTTTTTTTCTTTATTTCTTCAACCTAAATGGGTATAGTAACTGAATTTCATATATTAGTAGTTTTTGTAAAGTTAGGTAGTGCCTACTTGCAAATGGCAATAAACCAATAAAATCATTTTGGGTTGCATCCCACTATGAAATATTGCATCCAGGCCACCAAAGGTCCATTACACAAATGCTTTGTAGTATATTTTTTTTATGTTCTTTTGAGCGACGTGGTCAACTAAGAGGATATTAATAACAGTCAAATTCATAATTTTTTAGTATGAGAATTATGTTTTACTCATTCAATTATCTCTTTCGAGGCATAGTTGGACATTTTAAAATCAGTAGTATTTTATCTAATAATAGAGGATTGAATATATACTGAATAACTTTTTTAAAAATATATATTTTTTCTTTAAACAATTTTTACATGAAAGTAATTTTAATCTTTTATCCGTTGAGTGACCACTCTTCCCGCAATACCTTCAAATCACTAAGTTGACTTTGGTTATTATTATTTCCACACAAATTTTACATAGGTTGATATATTACATTCTTCCAAAAACTCTATATATTAATCTCTTCTTCTTCTTCTTTTAATTAAATTAGTACATGAAAAAGTTATAACAATTTCATAAATCTTGAGTATTCTACCTAGCTTCATATCAACAAGCTAGCATCAAATGGTAGTTCTCGCAGGGAAGAGCAAGACTCAAACATTTGTTAGTGTCGTGAATTTTTTTTTATTTTTATTTTTTCAAATTTGTAATAAATATTCAGAGTTGAATAATAAATTATCAAAATAAATGTTTGATGTTAAAAAAAGGTGTATACTTACATTATCAAAATAAATTAAAAGCTACTATAATATCACGCACAATTGGTAATTAAATTATTAATTAATTTGTTTAGAATTTTATACTCATCAATCATATTCAACGATTTACACTATCAAATAAATAATTATATGTAGTTGAATAATAAATTTCTTTATTTTGTTGGAATTCAAAGAAATGAAAGAGAAAATACTAATTTGTTTTTAACGTCACAAGATTTGAACTACAATTTTTATATATACTAACACCCAATAAATTTAGAAATTAAATTTCAACACAATCCACCGAAAGGTTAAAAAAAATTAACAAATCATTAGGATTGAAATAGTGTGGGAAAACTAACAAGAAAATGGTAAAATTCGGATGTATTTGTAAATCTATATATATATATATATATATATATATATATATATATATATAAATAAAAGTAAAATCCTCATATTTCATTTTTCCGTCCAAACTTTTGTAGTAAAACTTATTTGGTAATCAAATGTAAAATAGAAATTAAATAAAATCAATATTGTTTCCATAATCACGTATTAACCTAATTGGTAAATCTATTAATTGGTAATATTTTTTCCTTATATTCATTTACTCATTTATTTATATTGAGTAATTATATATAGAGATATAGATATGTATATTAACATATAATTGTTACGACTCCAATGTTTATCATTGCACAGGATATTTCTCCATTGAAGACTTGCAGAGCTATTAGACTGCAATTGGTGCGCACCTGGCCTATATGAAGTCCCATAGAGAAGGGGAGTGATTCCATAAAATCTAGAGAGTGCATGTTTCACGATCAAGAGGTATTTTTTTTTCAATTTTGCTTTTTTCTACGATTGCAATATTTATCCTTGCCCTGAATATTTCTCCATTGAAGACTTTCAGAGCTATTAGATGGTGATTGGTGTGCAACTATATGAAGTCCCATGGAGAAAGGGGTGATTCCATAAAATCTAGAGAGTGCATATTTCACGATTAAATGATATTTTTTTTATTTTGCTTTTTTCTAGAACTCATGTTGTATATGAAATTTGGAAAAAGATGCATTCCAAAGCTGCTTCCTATACTGCAAAAATAAATTGCAAAATAACACTTTTCTTTTTTACTCCATTGTAGGGAACTTCATGCTCATATACCAAGGGAGCATGTTGGTAAGTACTGTAAGCTTTTCAAAGAATGAAAAGTGTATGCCATTAAAAAATGTACGGTGATAAGTAATTTCTATACTTACAAAAAATGCACTCATTATTTTATGTTGTAATTCAACTATGCTACTTTAGTTAAAGAAAAAAAAAATGACAACTTTCCTAGACAAATTTATTTATTAAAATCATTTCATCTTTGAAGTCTGTAGATGATAAACAGTTCGTTGGTAAGTTTCATTTACAATTTTAATCTACATCTGAATTCTCTTTTTTTTTTTTTTTTTTTTTTTTTTTAACATGTTTGACATTATTGGTCGTTGAGATATACTCCCCATTGAATAAGATCATTGCAGGGAAGCCCTCTTAACTTATTGATTTTCTAATTGTACGTGGATACAAAGTAAATTATCTAATTTTGTTATTTTTATTGTATTTTGTATATGCATTTTTTATTAAGTAGTTTATTTGTTTATAGGGACAATCAATTGAAGGCTACAGTGTGAGATCAACATATACCAAGAGTTGAAACTTTTTTTTTTTTTTTTTTTAATTCTGACCTTGCAAATCCTATGGTTGTTCTTATGCAATTGTGTAGAGTTAAGAATGATACAAAGAGTTAATCTAAACACAAGTGTTTTAACTTTTCATTATATTTGAAAGTGTATGAATAAGGACAAGTAATGAATGTTCTTTTTTATTAGCCGGTTATAAGATATGTAACTCTTGATACACAGCTCCTTTTCAATTAGGATTTCCAGAGTTTTGTGATTTTCTGGAAAAGTAAATTTATTATGTCTTAATCATTATCATAATGTTTTTATCATTTATTTTTGTACACATTTTGTTTATGATTGTCATTTTTTTTTTGTTTTAAGTTTACATGTTGATTAGACCCCTCTAAGAAACATTATTGTTATTTATGAGATGATTGAGATAAACAGTAGCAATAAAACATTTTTTTTTAATTGATGCAGTGGCATCAAATTTTCTAATCATCTTTTGCCACTTTTTAAAATGATTTATTAGTATAAATTGTCACAATTTAAAATGTATTTTTTTAATGTTAATAAATAAATTAGCTTAAAATAATACATAAAAATTCAAAGGATAAGCAAAGTATAATCTAAAGTATAAAACAAAGGGATAAAGTACAAAAAAGCCATTGAACTATTTGGAAAAAAGCAATTAAGCCATCGAACTCAAATAACCCCCAAATAAGCCATTGAACCCAAAAAAAAAAAAGAGCAATTAACATTTTTAACAGGTTAACTTCAGGTTTTTGCTGACTGAATTGCCAAACATTTATTCTATTTACGTTTTTTTTTTTAATTATAAGCCACATACATAGTAATTATTTTAAAATAATTATAATCAAAGTAGTTTTGTCTAGATCTAATTTATTTATTTATTATTATTTTTTTAACAAAAGATCCAATGAAAAAATAATAATAAATAAATAAATCAAATCTCGAGAAGACAAAATTATTTTGATTATAATTATTTTAAAATATATTACTATACAAGTGGATAATATTAATAAATAATAATAATAATAAAAGTAAATAAAATAAACATTTGGCAATCCAATCAGCAAAAACTTAGAGTTAACCTGTAAAAAATGTTAATTGCTCTTTTTTTCAAGGTCCAATGACTTATTTGCTCTTTTTTTCCGGGTTCAATGACTTATTTGGGGGTTATTTGAGTTCGATGGCTTAATTGCTGCTTTCCAAATAGTTCAGTGTCTTATTTGTACTTTATCCCTTATTATTGTACATGTTTGCAAATTGATGGAGCATTGTAATAGTCCCAGTGCATCCAAATAAAGGCATCATGTAACTGATTATTCTTTCTTATCTCACATTAAAGGTTCAATACTGCAGATATATATAAAGTATTAGTAATAACATTGGTACTGCTAAATGTGTATATAACTAATTATTTATTAATTTAAGATCAAAGAGTGCCCTATATGATCTTAGACCTCAAATTTTACTTCCAAATATATTATAAATAATCAACCTACATAAGTACTATCTTATCTTCATATGAACAAAACTCATCATCCTTATGCGTGCATGTGCACATACAAAACTATAAACTGTCATTTTTAGATTGAATTCATCTTTCATGCGTAGTTGTATTTTCACCAACTAATTTACTAAAGCTTATTTTGTAAGCAAATGTAAAATGGATATTAACTAAAATCTTGGTAATATTGTTTCCATATTTACGTATTAACGTAATAACATAATACCATATATAAAAGACATATTAGTTATATTCTATAATATACTAATATTTTTGGTAACATTATTGTTTGCAAATTCTCCATTTTTTTTACGTATTTATAATACCGTATAGAAAAGATATTAATTAATTAGGTAATAACATATTAGCATAATTGGTAATATTATGTATGGTATTACCGTGTATAGTTTTTGAATGTTTATCACCAACTAATTTAATACAACTTATTTTGTAAGCAAATGTAAAATAGAAATTAACTAAAATCTTGGTAATATTGTTTCCATATTCAATGCTCTCACGTACTAACATAATACCCTATATAATCAATTTAAACAATTTATAATATAACTAATTCATATATATATATATATATATATATATATATATATATATATATATATATATATATATGTTACAACCTCACGGTCAAATCTATACTATATAATTAAAAACAAAATCCTATTTACATGATTTCCTGCCCAAACAATAGTAAATAGTAAAGGTAAATAAAAAAAAAAAGAATGAAAAAAGGAACATAAATATTTCACAATAATATTCTACATCATCAATTAAAAATATAATGGAAATTAGGTAAATTGAAAAAAGAAATGAATATTAATAATTCACTGAAAATTAAAAATGAAAAAAAAGGAATTGAAGTTAGGTTAAAAAAGTAAATGAATATTAATAATTGACTGAAAATAAAAATGATCCATAATTGACTAGAATGGAAAAGAAAATGATCAGATCATTACATTTTAATTTTTCACAATAATATTATACAGTATAATACATCAAATCACAATTATGTCATAAATCTTTCACAATTTTAAACAACAAAACGGAAATTAAAAATGGAATAAAAATATTTTAATAATAATATTCTACATCATCAAGTAAAAGTAAATTAAAAATGAAAAGAAAATATTTAAATAATAATATTCTACATCATCAATAGTAAAGATAAATTAAAAATGCAACGAAAATTAAAAATGAAACTGAAATATTTCAACAATAATATTGTACATCATCAATTTAAAATGGAACAAAAATTGAGTAAAAATATCACTGCATCTGATATCCTAATTGGCTAATTGACTGAAAATAAAAAAAGAATAATTGGTTGAAAGTGAATATGACATTACAAATTGACTGAAAATATAAAAAGAAATGAATACTAATAGTTGACTGCAAATAAAAAATGATCCATAATTGATTAATATGAAAAAAAAATGGTTAGATCATTGCATTTTAATTAAAAATGGAACGAAAACTAAAATTTGACGGAATATTTCAATAATAATTCTACATCATAAATAGTAAATGCATATTTTAAACAATATTAAATATAAATTAAAAATAGAACAGAAATATTTCAATAATAATATTATACATCATCAATTAAAAATGAAACGAAAATTAGGTAAAAATATCACATTCTAATTGACTAAAAATATAAAAGAATAATTTACTGAAAATGAATTTGATATTACTAATTGACTTAAAATATAAAAAGGATCGCTAATTGACTAATACTCTACCATTATATATTTTCACTCGAGTCACCTATCCTGATGGACTGAAGGTGTTAGCTCTATACGATGATGGACATGATTGCGTTATTACTACCAATGTCTACAAAGAGATTTCAATAATGTGTAAATACAATCGTTGATATTATATTTTTTTAAATGACAAAATTGCTATATATATAGACAAAAATATATATATTCTATACAAATGAATTAAGATAGCAATTCATTCATATAACTGAGTTGCTAGAGAACGAACACATTTGTCTAATTTATAAAAAAAAAAATACTAAACAATGTTAAATAAAATCTCCAAATTACAGCACAACATGCGTACATCTACACATTAGCTATTAATTTGAACAATTATTTGCTCAAATTCAAACGATGATAACAACAAAACACATAAATAATCCAAATCATATCTTCAACTGCACTATATAATATTTGATGTTCTAATTTATATAACTATATATCAATCCAAATATTTTTAATATATTATTACAATCCATTCCGTGCATCGCACGGGCGCAAATACTAGTGTAAAAGAAATAAAAACTTAAATGTATTAGTTATCAATAAAATCAACTACATTAACATTTACCAGGACTGTGTGGTCCAATGGTATTCGGGTTGGACTTCCATTTGGAAGATTGTGAGTTCGAGCCTCAGTAGGGGCGTTATTAGCTCTTTGTGTTTCAGTAGGTTGAGAAAGTATATGAACAGATACTACAATGTAATAAAGCTAGATTTAACAATATTAAGGAAAAATTAAAAAATGAGGGATAACATTGAAAATTATTTGTATTAGTTTAAGAAAAATAGTATAAGGTACATATCATTAATGCAATCTATAACACTAACACAATTTTTATTTCATTACAATCCTAACACTATTGAGTTTTATTATAGTTATTAGTAGATAGTAGATAGTAGATAGTAGTATTAGGACTCTATGTATATGAGTCTGTTTAGAACTTCTTATCCTTGTCACACTGTGACTCTCTACTTCTTATCATTGTCACACTGTGACTCTCTATTCTATATATTCACATCATCTGATCTCATTGTAATCAAGTTCAGAAAATATAATACAATCAGTTCTCATCCGGTATCAGTTAGCTAGGGTTTTGTGATTCATAAAATTAAGAAGATGCAGCGCTGCGATGGCAACCTTAATTACCGTGGAGGTCAGCAACGTGGCTTCGATGATCCGTGTCAAATCTGTAAAGGTTTCGGCCACACAGGAGTCAATTGTTTTTGGCGCTATGATGATCCGTGTCAAATTTGTAAACGTTTTGGTCACACGGGAGCCAATTGTTTTTGGCGCTATGATGATCCATGTCAAATTTGTAAACGTTTTGGTCACACGGGAGCCAATTGTTTTTGGCGCTATAATGATCCGTGTCAAATTTGCAAAAGTTTCGGTCACACGGGAGTCAACTGTTTTCGGCGATATTCAAGGGCTCCGGGTTCTCAGGCTAATTTGGTGTTTCAGAATGGTTTAGTTGCTAAAACCTCGTCAAATTCTCATACTTGGGTTCCGGACACTGGAGCCACAAATCATGCAACTCCGAACATCGCTGCCCTTTCTACATCGGAGAAGTACACTGGTAATGACACTTTACGTGTCGGTGACGGTATGAGTTTATCTATTAGTCATGTTGGCCATGCCTCTTTTAATACCCCTTCTAGATCATTTACATTGTCTGATATACTTCACGTTCCGCGTTTGTCTAATTCTTTATTATCTGTTCAGAAGTTTGCATCCGATAATAAAGTCTTTTTTGAGTTTCACCCCTCCTTTTTTGTTGTAAAAGATATCAATACCAAGGAAATACTTCTTCGGGGCAATAGTTCGGGGGGACTATACACACTTTCATTACCTAGTTCGTCTCCGTCAGCATTTATTTCCGCTCGTGCCTCGGCTTCCACTTGGCACAATCGTCTAGGTCATCCTCATAACCGTGTTCTTAGCCA